AAAGTTTGATGACATGTATCTATTTGTGAGGATTCAGTTCTAATGCAATCAATTAAACTCTCCATTGAATAGCCATAAAGAGAAGAATTTAAAGGTTTTGCATCATTGATGTCAGTATCAGATCGCCTCAGGAGTGAAGACTTTGTGCTCTCAACTCTTTTGTTGATGGCATCGATCGGATCCATATAGAAAGGGAATGAATTGAGACGATTCGTTGAGTTCTTCTTTAATACTGTAGTCTCCGTTTGAGTACTTCTATGAGACTTATCTAATGTGCGCTCATTTTCTGCAATTCCTCTCAAAGTGGAGTCGAGAGTGAGTCGGGAGACAGTGTTTGCGCCCCAAATGTCTTCGTAATCGCTTTCCTTGTCGTGAAGTGAACTCCGATAACAGAGAACTTTCTTTTGAGCGTTTGTTAGACTGATTTTTGAATCTTTTGGCGTATTATCAGTGGTTTGACTAGAAATAGATACAGAACTCGTGTCCGAATGGCGCCGATGTTTGACGTCTTTTACGTGAATTAACGTGATCTCAGTGTTGGGAGCGATTGGCGACTCTTTCGCTTCCTTAACCTCTTTTGTGCTCTCATTCGATGTATTTGTCGAAGAATTCGTTGACTTAGATATTGAGCCGTTGTTTAAAGTCCCAAATTTACTTCGTGGCGGAACCGGCGGGCGTTCGGCTCGTTTTGGGGGCAGTTTTGGCTGTTGTGGAGCCAATACTTGCGATATGGGAACTGTCGATGACTTTTTCATATCGATAATCGGGTCGACGTTCGAGACGTCCTGTTTATGAGGGATAGGCGGCGGCGGTTGTGGGCTCTCCTTCTTGAAAGTCGAGCACTTATTGCTTCGTTTGTTGAGTGAATTAGACGTTTCACTAGAATTTTCATCACTTTTATTGTCGTTAGAATTCGTAAGCTTTGAAAGACTCGATTGCCAGAAGTCTTGCCCCAAAAGGGCCAGAGATGTCAACTGTTGCCGATTGGACTGCGCGAGCACTTTGGGAAGTGTGAGCTGAACGGGCAGTTCGTCACAACAGGTGGAGTAATGGCTGACTAACATCGGTATTGCACTGAAGTAGTTGTCTGAGTCCTCTAAATGCAGTTTCCCACTCCCGCCGTCTTCTATGAGATAGTGCTCGATGTGAGGGCCCCGGCCTTCAGGTAAGCGCACCGATAGTGCCATTGTATTGGCTTTACTCGACTGTCGAACCTATCGTATGATCGAAACCAAAGGTCATTAATAAGTAGACTACGGGTCAGTTTACAAGACAGGAAATGCGCTCTCAAATGCTAAATGATAAACATTTTTCGCTTGTTTTACATTTTATACAAAATTATAATTCGTCGAAATAAAGTGCTATGTTTTGCATTAAATAAAATTTACAAATAAATGTGATTTCATATCAAAAACACGTATTCATGCGTAACGAGTGTTGAAAACAAACTGAATAAATAATACCTAAAACTAAAAATATACACAACTTGTTATTTTGTCGTGTTTTTGGTTTTGTATTTTAAATTTACACAAAAAACTAACTGAATTTAAATACTGTTAGCAAACTATAGTAACTCTTTGATAATGAATGCAAATAAATTGATTTCCAGAATTTGGGTCAAAGCATATAATTCTTTGACACATATTCTTCATAAATTTTTCACTCATTTTTCTTATTATTTGCAAAAATCGCGAAAAACATTGTGTGTGAATAGCATTCAACAAAACTTCAAGTGTCGGCACAAAAAAAGTTATTTTTAAACTTTCAAAGTATACTTAAATTAGTTTATTATCCTTTCGGTTGAAATATAGATATATATTTTATAAGTGATGAAAATTTATTTGAAATTATTATTTATTTGAAAACTTATGTTAAAGTTTTTCTAATCTAATAAATCGTTGTTTGGAAATGATGTCAAAAATAACAATAAATAAGAAAAATTAATTGAAACTCAATTAATAACTTTTCATAACAACAAAAACGTGTATTTGTATGGTTTGTGTTGTGCTTTCCATTCACTCCCATTAACAATGAGATTGTATTGAATTAAAAGCAACACTTCTTTTCCAAGTTATACTCTAATGAACGCTAGTTTAGATAATTAGTCTATAATTTATATAAAAATAACATTTACTTCGACTTTAGTTCACTAGAAATGGGACATCAATTCAATTATATTAATTGTATCTGTATTTTCACATTCAGTTCATTACATTTGTTTTCGCAATTTTCTAATTTATAATCGTTTCGACGATTACTTTAATCTTTAAAAATAGGGTTTCAATCAATGTTTAGGAAAAAAAATTTAATAATTTAATGTTAAACTAAAAATCTTAAAATATTAAAAGATCTTAAACTTAAATAAAATATAAATCGGATTCAAAAAGATTATTATAATTAATTGAAATGCGAATACATTTTATTATAATATTCAACATTGAATTGAATAACAAAACGAAAGAATAAATTAAAATTTAAAAAGAAATGCAAACGAAGTAAAACCAACACAATGTTATAGACATAGTATAAAGTGTATGGAAAATATGCTTACAATGAAACATCCGGGCTCTTTGCCCTGAAGGAGGTGGACGACACCCCCTCTCCCGATTTCCGACAAAAACCAAATCGGGTGACAACGGATCAGACGCTCCAAGAGTCCAATTGTGGCCGGAATTGATTCACAACTGGCGTCTGAATTGTCATCGTTTTTGTCATCAATTGATGTATTATTGGACAGACTCTCCACTTCTGACGCGTTTTGTTTTTCCTTTATTTCAATTGCATTACATTTCTATAGGAATTGATTTATTTGATTATTGAAATAAGTTATAAAAACAAAACATTTTATATTGAATTCTAAACATAAATTTGAATTTTTGAACTCAAAAATAATAAATTTTAAAACAAATTATCATTTTGTGAATACATTTCCACAATTTTTAGACAAATAGTTAAAAATAGAAAATTGAAGTTT